CAAGGTTGTGGCGCCAACCCTTGAATTCAAAAAGGCAAAAACCAAAATATATTAAAAGTCCAAAAAAAGAAAAAAAAAAAAAAAAAAAAAAAATACAAAAAAAGCAAGCAAGGGACGAATCAGAAGTGGGCCGCGGATTGCCGTGAGAGCGGGGAGACGTGCCTGGCAGATAGGAAGGACTAGCATTAGGACTTAGCACTTACCGCATGGAAGAAGCAAGAAGAGAAAACAAGTGCGTGGAAGAAAGAGGGAAAGAATGTATATATTGGATATCCATATATATCTAAAGAATATAGATAGATACATAATATCGATCAATGAGAGAAGACACGATGGTCAATGAATGGGTCATATCGGGGTTGGCTGATGTTACTTGGCGGCATACTGGTGCTTAGACGCGGCTTCAAGCTGCAGACCAGACCCGGCAGTGGTACAGAATGAGAGAGCAATCTGCAATCATCACAATTCCTGCGTAGATACAGGGAAGGGCAACTTGAATCTACCGTGGGCCAACCCTGTGGTCAGAACTTCAATCATATACCAGCGTAGAGCCCTGGAGGCGAAAAATGATTCGCACACCCACCCGAGTTTCCCAGCGACAACCGTGGAAGATTCTCTTCTCTCGCACCGTGGATCCACCCTGCTTCATCCACGCCCTGACTCAGCAGAGTTCAGCAGCAAAGCGTCATACCTGCGCAGGAGGCAAAGGCCCATCGGGAGAACCCGGGGCCACCCTCCTCCCCCCCCCCCCCTCTCACGGGTCATTGGCCTTTTCGAGCGCCCTGCAGGCCTGGCCCGGAGCCAAAGTGGCAGCCCTGTCCTCGACGACCCGGGATCTCCCGTGCTGGGTGGGGAACGGCGGAAGATCGAAGTAACAAACCTGAAACCCGCGTACGGAGTATTTATGGTGTGAGGCCCGCCGTGGCCCAGCGAAGCCCCCAGCGAAGCCCCCAGCGAAGGCACCAGCGAATGAAGCCCAGCTCCATGCTCGACGACTTTGCTGCGCTCCTTGCCCAATAATCGCCAAGCTGCTGACCTCAATCGCTCAAGGTATTGTATTATATCATACCTGCCAATCATACTTATTACCATTACCCGTTACCCACCCCCCGTTGAAACCTCCCAACCCTTCGTCCACCCCCAGACCCACAGGGCCAAACTCACAGGAACCACTCAATAATACCACCAATCTACCCATTTACCATCTGCCATTTTCGCCGATTTGCGTTTGGTCTCCCGTTCTTCGCCGTTCCACATGGCTTCCGGTTCTGCTTCGGGTGCAGGCTCGTCTCCCCTGGGCCCGGCTACGGCTGCGGCTGCTGCTGCTGCTGCTACTCGTGCTGCCATTCATATACCCCCGAATCCCCCTCGCTGCTCCTCCTCCTCCAACCCAGTCCCGCCCACCCTCGCCGCCTTCTCCGACTTCTCCGACTTTGCCAGACAGCTGCAGGCTAAGCAACAGCATTCCAACTACCACTCCTCCTCGCTGTCCACCTCGCTCAAAGACATGGTTGCCGCTTCGGTAAACCGCACCTCGCTGCATCCCTCGGGTGTCCAGTATGTGTTCTCCTCTGTTCTTCCCGGTGAACTTGAATTGGTTATAATAAAAATACTATCTCTATATCTATCTATCTATCTATACATACATACATACATAATGTGATGCAGAAAACTAACTGACGTGTTCTCCATGCAAAGGCCTGGCGTGGGACACACAGAACTCGAGGAAGAACTCCATGAAACTGCCCACATCGACTACGAGCGGGTATCAATTGTAAGGGCTGCTGCCTCTTCCATATATTATTATCCATCTATATCTATACCCATCTCTTCCCCTTTATTAACCTCATTAACAACGGGCAATGACATATAGATCGCCAACCCAGCTGTCCCCTCCCTATACGAAGATGCGTTGGTCTACGAAACAGGCACCGCCATCACCTCTACCGGTGCCCTGACTGCCTACTCGGGCGCAAAGACTGGCAGATCGCCGCTCGACAAGCGAATTGTAAAGGAGCCCTCGTCCGAGAATGAAGTCTGGTGGGGGCCTGTAAACAAGCCCATGTCGCCTGAGGTAAGCCATTTCTCTCTCTCTCTCTCTCTCTCTCTCTCTCTCTCTCTCTACTTTTTTCTTCATTCTTTGTTGTAGCCACCCTTCATTCTACCAAGAATAAAATCAATCCCTCGGGCCTTGCATCCTACCCTTGCCCAGTTTCTCCACTTGATGCTGTTTGTTATGTAATGCCCTGTCCAAGCCGCTGCTCTCTTGGCTAGCTCCTTCCCCGCACTTGGGACTTCCGCTTCCTTTTTCCTTGTCGATCCGGGGAAAGTGGTCACGTGCCATCATGACGTCAACTGACTAATCTCCCTCTTCCGATTGGCCAATTTGCATTCACATGAGCTAACCAATTGCAACCGTTTCGATTCAGGTCTGGAGAATCAACAGGGAACGCGCTGTCGACTATCTCAACACCAGAAACCGCATCTACGTCATCGATGGCTTTGCCGGCTGGGACGAGCGCTACAGAATCAGCGTCAGGGTCGTCTGCGCCCGTGCCTACCATGCCCTCTTCATGCGCAACATGCTCATCCGGCCCTCGAGTGAGGAGCTCAAGTCCTTCCACCCGGACTATGTCATCTACAACGCCGGCTCCTTCCCCGCCAACAGATGGACTGAGGGAATGACCTCCGCCACGTCTATCGCCATCAACTTTGCCGAAAAGGAGATGGTCATCCTCGGCACTGAGTATGCTGGCGAGATGAAGAAGGGCGTCTTCACCGTGTTGTTCTACGAAATGCCCGTCAAGCACAACGTGCTCACCTTGCACTCGTCCGCCAACCAGGGCCCGGACGGCGATGTCACTGTTTTCTTCGGCCTTTCTGGCACTGGCAAAACGACCCTATCAGCCGATCCCAAGCGAGCATTGATTGGTGATGACGAGCACTGCTGGACTGACCGTGGTGTCTTCAACATTGAAGGAGGGGTATGTTGCCTCACCCCGATTATATTTCTACGCGGCTTTTTTTTTTTTTTTTTTTTTTGTTGGCTAACATGTTTTCTTTTTTACGTGACAGTGCTACGCCCAAGTGCATCGGTTTGTCCGCAGAAAAAGAGCCTGATATTTTCAATGCAATCCGCTTCGGAGCCGTATTGGAGAATGTCGTCTTCGATCCCACAACCAGAGTGGTTGACTATGACGATTCAACTCTCACCGAGAACACCCGATGGTATGTCCCAATTTAGCTTTCTTCTTCCAATATGTATATTTCCCTCCGCCTTAAAGCTAATAAATTGTTGCAGTGCCTACCCAATCGAATACATTGATAATGCCAAAATCCCTTGCATCGCTGAAGCCCACCCCAAGAACATCATCCTCCTCACATGTGACGCCCGCGGCGTCCTCCCACCCATCTCCAAACTAACCACCGAACAAACTATGTTCCACTTCATCTCCGGTTACACTTCCAAGATGGCCGGCACCGAGGACGGCGTCACTGAGCCCCAGGCCACGTTTTCCTCCTGTTTCGCCCAACCTTTCCTCGCACTCCACCCCATGCGCTACGCCCGCATGCTTGCCGATAAAATCTCCCAACACAAAGCCAACGCCTGGCTGCTCAACACTGGCTGGGTTGGCGCCGGCGCCACCACGGGCGGCAAACGCTGCCCGCTCAAATACACCCGTGCCATCCTCGACGCCATCCACAGCGGCGAGCTCGCCAAAGCAGAGTACGAAGTCTACGATGTCTTCAACCTCTTCGTCCCCAAGTCCTGCGCGGGCGTGCCCAGCGAGCTCCTCAACCCGAAGACAAGCTGGACCGCCTCCACCCCCTTCGAGAACGAGGTCAACAAACTCGCCGTGCTATTCAATGAGAACTTCAAGAAGTATTCCGATGAGGCTACCAAGGAGGTCCTTGCGGCTGCACCTGTCGTGTCTGGTAGCGGTGCTGCTGCTGTTGCGGGGGTAAATGGCGCCAAGCCCTCGACGAACGGGGCTTCGGCTTGACTAGCGCCAGGAGCATCGAGGCGGGCGGTGTTTAAGCAGAGGCTGCGGAAGGTGTTCCGCTCGGAACGGCCATCCCAAGCCAAAGCAAAAGCCACAAGAGGGAAAGAGTGAAAAGGGAAAAAGAGACAAATGTAAAAAAAAAAAAAAAAAAAAAAAAAAAAAAAAGAAAGAAAGAAAATAAGAATACATTTCGTGAAAATCTGTTTTCTTCTCTTGTCTTTTCTTTTTTCATTGCGATGATAAGCGCTGAAATCCCTTCCTTGATTACCCTTCCTTTTCAAACGCCTTTTGTAAGGGTAAACGAAAAGGCAAATATATACACCAACGCCTCGTTGCTCCGTGTAGTTGTGACGGAAAGCGGAGAACGGAGAACTAAGCTAGGAGAATGAAGCTAGAAAAAAAATGTTATTCGTTCAATGAAACATGGGGGTTGAGGGGGAAATATCAAAACAAACCAAACCCTCCTACCCCCACCCCAACCTGTATTCCAAATCTAACCTTTTCAATTTTCCTCTTTTTATTCTTTTATTTTTTTTTTTTTTTTTTCTTAAGCTCCTGTGCCATGTTTTACGATTTCCAAAGTTGTTCCATCTAATCTATTTCTTCCTTTGCCGATTCCTTTTAAATTTTTCAGTCAATTTTCCCCTGCCTGTTTTGATCCCCTCTGTTCTTTTTTATCCGTTTTCTTTTCCCTTTTCATGGTTCTAGTTGTCATATCCCCCTTGTCCCCTATATACAAAATTATAAACACATAACACATGTTGTTCCATACGATTGATTATACACAGTAAGCGCATGAATTATGAAATCAATAAATAGCTGACATATCTAAAAGAAGTTACGTGGCGGCGCTTCCCTTCCCAGTAGTTATTTAGTGTAGTTCTTGGTTGGTGATTCGTGAGGCGTGCTGCATAAAGTAAGCTTTAATCGCGCAAGCGTCGTCTATATTTCCATCAAACTACTCCGTATATAGTTTATTTTTACTTTTTTTTTGTTGTTGTTTCCCACCCACAGCACCGGAAAGGAGCAGTCAATCCACCCTGAATCAAGGCGCGGGGGAAACAAACTCCCCCATCTTGAGATGTTTAATGTACTGTAGTGATATTTAGGGGGGCCCCGTCTGACAGTACACTGTGACAGAGTAACCTATTCAGATCTTCTAGGTTTTCTCTTCTTCGCGACGTTCGTTCGTCGTATGTAGTAAGCGGTACTATGCATGCATACTGTAACTGGTGGTGGTTAACTGATATCCCGGCCCCTTCGACGACTTTCGCCTGGAGCCGCCAACGTCCCAGAGAGTACAGTCAGTACATCTGTCGAGCTAGTGCTAGTATCTACAACCCCAGGGACGCGCGGTTGGGGTTGGCATTTCGGTTTCCAGAACGAGGTCCAACCCACCGACTCTGCGCACCCTTTAGTTAACTATAATTGGTTAGTTATTACCTGCGTATCGTCGACGTGCGGTGGCGAGTCGAACAGGCGCGCAGCTTGGAAGGGGAAGCCCAAGCCCAAAGCGATCCAAAGCCAGAGCCAGCGCCAGAGGTGCCAGGAATGGGAATGTTCTGTAACTTTGCACGAGTCTCTCCCGGACAGCGCCCAATATTCATGTTGCAGTGCCGACGATGGCAACGTTTGATGTGTCTGATCAAAGCGCGTGTTCGCTGCAGGCATGGTCGGCTTCCCGCTAGACCTCGGATACGCGGGGATAGGATGATAACTGTGTCGCTGGGGGTCATGGCTGGTGGCTGTTCTATGTCTCACTTTTTTACTCCGATGAACCCCTGACATGGTGAGAGTGAGATGACTAGTGACAGTGTGGGTTTTTTTTTTTTTTTTTTTTTTTTTTTTGTCAATATGGGCTCTTGAGTTGATTGTCAATTGTTGATCTACAGATTGTAGAACCAGTTGAAGATGCTCTGATACCTCAGCACGCTTGGTACTTACCCATTCCTCCCAGATTGTGGTTTCTGACAGCGTACCATCACGAAACAGAATCGCGGAGACATATTGCGCAGCAATTTCTTTCGAGAACTACAGGTCGTGGTTCCAAGATCGGCCTTTCAGCCGCTGGAGTCGTTTCGGAATGTTGACTACCAGTTGGAGGAACGGGAACTCGACCGGGAGACGCAACCAGAAACAAATACTTACTACATTTGCCGCCAAATTGAGAGTTTGATGTGGCGTCCTTAATTTCTGCTGTCTCTCATTCCTCTCCCCCTCCCCCCGTTGTACCTCCATTCGCAAGACAATACAAGGGGTTGTCCGCTGTAGAAAATGCCACCTCACAATAGTTCCTGAACTTTACGCAATGTGGAATCACTCGCCTCGCGGACACTATCTATAACTACGGAGTACAGATTACCATTTGGAGCTATCTCTGCGGCTACACGAAAAGCTTCGTCACGCCCCGAACCCTGCACTCCTAGCCCGCTCACTCTTCTGGCTCACCGACAATAATAATGCGATTGGTGGTACGCCGCTTGCACCCAGACAAACCAGACTTAGATCACCGACACCAGCGCCAATTACGCAGGAGTAATCCGTAGTGTCTGACCGAGATACCTTAATTTGACCACGGAAAAATGAGCGACGTACCACGAATCCAGATCGGCCGGAAAACGAAAATGAGCGAGCTGAAAACCCGCGCCGGATCCTGGGGTGGGGGTTGGGGGAAAAGCAGAAGACAGAGGATAGGTAGTGTAGCGACACACGTTCACCATTCACCGCGCAGGCTACAGCAAATAGCACAGGACATGCACCAATCAACCAAGCCGTAACTTTTTGGCGGGCAGCGGGCTGATAGAGGAGTCACCCATCTCCCGCGGGCCCTGGTGTTGACATGTTCCAACAAAGCTCATCCACCCCGAAGACACTAGGCAAGGCTATACGTAATCCACAAAGCTTAGCATACTTAGCCTGCGTGCAAGCAGGGCCTGAAACCTTGCCGGGCTCAATTCAGGGGGCCCGGGGAAGGCGAAACAACAACACGCAGGAAGCACGCATGGCATGGGGTGAAAAATGAGTCGATCGTGGGGACCCAATCTAGACTCTTCTCTTTCGCTTGAGCGAGCCGGCTTTTCGGTTTGGTCATATATACTTTACCTGCTTGGATGAGCATTGTCCATGCAAGCAGGGAGGTTGATGTGGTTGGTTGGGTGTAACCAAGCCTGACTTGGAATGCGGATGGGGCTGTATGATCAGCAAAAGAAAAGAAAAGAATAAGGGAAATGAAAAATGAAAAAAGGAGGAAGAAAAAAAAAATAAAATAAATAAAACAATAAACATAGTTAACTTGCAACAGAGACTCAAAATAAAACCAACCCAGCGCCCCGCGGACAGACAATAAATCAATATAACAAAGCTTCTTCAATCCACCTCATTCCCGTCCTATGTCAATTCGCCCAAACCATGTTCTCCCCTCTCTTGTCTCGCGCTGTCCCCTCCCTCTCTCCCCTCCTCTTCCTCTTCCTCCACTCCGTCTTTGTCTCCATATCGGCCACCACACCACTCCCGCACCGAAATCAGTGTTCCACATACTACGAACTCCTCTGCTGCCGAAACTCCTTTCCCCAGATGTCGACCAAGAATGACTTTTGGGGGTACAGATGTGAGTAGATCCCTTTCCAGAGAAGGAAATAACAAAAAAAAAAAAGAAAAGAAAAGAAAAGAAAAGAAAAGAAAAGAAAAGACGATAGCACCCACTCCCCGCTATCCGTTTATTACATAAGCTTATCGTCTCCGGGAAACGGCCCCTGTCTAACTCTGTGTATCAACTCAACAGGCCGAACCCCTATCCGAGGGTGCCTCCAGACTGTAGAAGCGCCGTTGTGCTGTCCGCGTGGTGTAAGTTTCCCCACCGAACGAAATATATATATATATATATATATCCATTCATTTCTCGTCAACTCGGGAGATAGACGAGATGAGACGTGCTGTGCTCTGCAGAAAGGGAATAAAAACATGTTTCTAACCCCCCCCAACACACACACACATATATATATATATATAGCAACTCGATGACTGCGTCCAGCCGGGGAGTCCCCCCTTGCAAGATTGGTGATCGTGCGGGTGCTTTTGCATATGCTTTGAGATTCGTTCTTGCCCTCTTCCTCTTCTTGTTCGTAATTTGCTTCCGTTGATGGCGAGCTTGAAGAAAAGACGGTGAACAAGC